TACTCAACTCCATATTCAAGCATAACATTTTCATATGAAAGAGCTATTTATTCACTCCAACTACTTTTCTCATGATAAAAGCAAGATATTCTTCAAGTTGCTGCATCTAGATTCAGCCCCAGCCACTTGTCTGAAAGTGTTTTTGCCAAGGTCATCAGTAGTATCCTTACTGCAAAATCAAATGGGAATTTTTGTTTTTGTTTTTATCTTATATGACCTCTTTGTAGCATGTGACACCATGGTTATTGTATCCTTTTTTAATACTTTCTTTCCTTGAAGTTTTAAAAGCCTCTGGCAGATCCTTCTAAGCCTCTTTGGAAGGAGTCTCTTTAGTAAATTGTTGCACGTTGATATGAAATTAGTATCTATATATTGATGTCTCCACAGTGGCACCCTACTGGATAGCGCCCACACCTACTTCTTCCCCCATAGTCTCTTCTCCTGTGAGTGGTAACTATCACCCACCCAGGGGTCCCAGCCAGATCCCAGAATGATCCTTGACACCCCTCCCTTATTTCTAAATCCAGTTCAGCCATGTAAATTCAGCCTCCTAAACATCTGTAGTCTGCCCTACAATGAAAAAAGGGGGCATAAATGCATAACTTAGATAGTCATTAGTTACATTGCATTTATTGGAATTGCTGTCCTTTGCACCTAGTTCATTCATGCGTTCATTGAACATAAGCATATATCCTATTTTAGAAAGCAAGGAGTGATCAGTGATCACTTTGTAAGCTATGTAAATGTCTAATGACTATGTTGTAAACCTAACATTAATATAATATTGTATGTCAATTGTAATTTAATTTTTAAAAAGTAGGTCATATAGAGATGAGCTCCCTCAAGAAAAATAAAGCAGGGAAGGGGGACAGGATAAGTTTAGGCAATCTTAAATAGGGTGGTCAGGTTGTCTTTTTGGGCCTTCAAAACAGTCCGGGAATGAGGAGCCCTTTTCCTCTCTGATCTCAGAGTGGTTTGGGTGTGAGCCTTGGAGCTGTCAGAGGCTGTTGCTCCAGCTTTGTGGAGAAGCTGGTCTTGATAGCCAAGAAAGTAAGGAGTATAAAATGCTCATTGTCTATAGCAATAGAAATTTGAAGAAAGAAATAGTTAATCAGAATATGCACAAACCACTTACTGGTACATCTACATGGACTGCCCATGAGAAAAAAAGGCACAAAATACACTTAAGAGCTTTGATATGACACGTAAGTATAAAATATAATTAAACAAAATCTGATTTAATCATTCTAAATTAATCATCAGAAAGAGAGGCCAACAAGACTAAAACAATTTAAAAATAAGACCCTTACATAACAGTCTTACAAGTAAGTCAGAAATAACAATGAGACATTATTGAAATATCCAGATTGCTGCCAGGATTTACTGCAATTAGTTTTCTCTACTTAATATGCATGTGCTTCAGATAATAAAACCAGGAAGTTCATTTGTACAATGAACCAAAGACCATCACATTGATCAATTGGAACTTTTCACCCATTTCGCATAATCTAATTGCCAATACAATGGAACCTAAGATTCAAAACACTATCTGCATTCCACATAAATTTTAAGATGAGCCACCTATTCTTTGATTCAAGGAGAAAATGGTAGATTTTCTCCCTGTTATACAAGTTATGTTCATAAAGTATAAAATCATATTGATTGCTAAAGACAAAATACATTTCAGTATAATAATGTACTTTCCACTGTATGTTATATACCAACACAGTCAACATCTGGGAAAAAAAAAAGGGAAGCCCAAAAGTTCAAGAAAAAAAATATTAATGTTATATTTTACCAATGATCTTTCAAGCCAAATATGATTTGGTGTGAGAATATAATTTTGGGGGGAAATGCCTGGCAAAACTGTTAAACCACTGCATCCCTTCAAGTTCCAATTCAGCTGCTTTTAGATTTAAAATCTTTCCCTGAAAGGATTATATTGTTTGTTATGGTAAAATCTTCATATGCCTCTTATTTGCTTTATCTCTATAATGAAATTTTGAACTCACTGATTGCAGTTGCTCAATTTATATGGTGCTTGTATCATCTACTAAATCCTCTACAACATTGAGATTAGCAAAATGAAAGCCTGAAAACAAATGAACAAACCCCGCACCTTAGAATCTGCACTAGTCACAGACTGGAGTGGCTGACTGCTCAAACCAATTCTCTTGTGGCCACACCTATGGGACCCTTTCTCAGGTTAAAGACTTGGCAAATATGTCAAACTCGCCCGCCAAGAGTTTAAATTCTTGCTCCATGCCTCTGCCCACAAGAGAAAGCACACAAGCCAAGCTTTCCTGAAAGTGTCCTTCTTGAGACCTTCAAAACTGAGTCTGGGGAAAAAACTCCTTTCCTCTCTGATCTCAGATATGAGCTTTGGAGTGGTCAGGAGTTGCTGCTATAGCTTCATGGAGAAGCTGGTGTTTACACAAAGCAGAGAGGGGAGACAGTGAGAGGCCAACTGAGACAGACAGACAGACACTGCTAAATGCCAGCTTCATCCCTGTTCTTTCCACAATTAAGTTCTGAGTCAATAAATCCCTTTGACTTACTTTCACTAGTTATTATAAGGATTCCATCACTGGAAGCCAGAATTGTAACTAGTGCAGATGCAGATTTGCATTACTGTTCCAAGACTCTTGGAACCCATGAGGTCCAAAATCCTCATTACCTCATTACCTGTTAGGTATTAGGAAAACGGATTAGTTAGAGAGGGGTAAGCACCTTGCCTGAAGTCTCAGAATGAAATTGTAAGGAAGCAGGGAACTGTAGCCAATCCTGCAGGTCAGCTCACCCTCACCCATTCTAACTCCAACATTTCCCAGTCTTCTTGTAGCTAGGGTGCTGGCATGTGGCCTAAGTTCTCGGGAAGCAAAGGCTTCTAACCAGGACTTGGGTGAGGAATGACCAATGAGAGGTGGGCATTGCATGCAGGGAGTTGGTATCTGCTGGAGAACAGGGTGGTAGAGCCCTGTGTTCTTTGAAAACAACTAAGGTGGACGCTGACACACAGAACCTACCTGCCTGATACAGCAGAATCAATCTGTGTGTGTGTGTGTTTGTGTGTGTGTGTGTGTGTGTGTGTGTGTGTGTGTGTGTGTGTGTGTGTGTGTGTGTTTTGACTGAGTAGTATCCAAACTGGTTCTATGGTTCTCCTAAGATTCTGGGAGACACCTAATAACTTTCAATAAATCTCTTTCTATTTAAACTAGCTTGAGTTCTGTTTGAGATCAAGAACCTGGACCTATATAGAATTAGACACCTAGAAGTGGGGTGCTGCAATCTGCAATGTGGGACTGTATTCCTGGGGAAGTGGAGCTTGGAGCAGCAAAAGCACAGATACTGACCGAAAGCAGAAAGCTGTCAACTCATTATGCAGGATGTAAAACTGTGTCAAACTGCTCCACGCTGTGCCTCTGTGCTGTGATTGTACCATTTGAAGAAACCATAACAAAAAATTTGTCCTAGAATGAGGATATTTAATAATACCCAGAATCCCTAAACTCCTTCCCAAATTCAGTATCATTTAGAAACTGTTTTTTAGCTGCATCACAACTAAAAAAAATAGTGAAACACATTATGGATTTTATGTCTCTCAAACCTGAAGATGAATGGAAACTATAGAGGGAGTATCAATCTATGCAGTTCATATGTTCAAAAATGCAATTCCAAATCATGACTAAAAAGTAAAGTGATGAGCAATATGCAGTCTGAGACATAAAGTCTCTTAGATTATATATATATATATATATATATATATATATATATTCTGTACAAATATTTCATTGAGATCACCTTGCATTTTGCTCATGTGTATTACTTTGCAGCTTAAATATGTTCACATTTTTTACCCAATCCTTCTTCTTCTTTCTCTCCATCTTCCTTTTCTTGCTTTTTGTCTGTCTTTGTCTCTCTCCTTCCAATCTCTTTTCTTGAGGAGCATTTATCTCATTTTCTCTCTTTTTTAGATAATTCTAACAAGTGTGAGGTGACAACTTACTGTGGTTTGATTTGCATTTTCCTCATGATGAGTGATATTCAGCAATGTTTTCATGTACTTTTTGGCCATTTGTATGTTTTCTTTGGAAAAAATGTCTATTCCTCAGCCTATTTTTAAATTAGATTTTTTTTTTTTTTTTTTTTTTTTTTTTTTTTTTGCTGTTCATTGTATAAGTTCCTTAGCCCCTTATAAGTTATATGGTTTGCAAAAATTTCCCATTTCATAGGTTGCCTTCTCATATTATTGGTTGGTTGTTTTGCTGTGCAGAAGTAGTTTTGTTTAAGGTAGTCCCACTTGTTCACTTTTGTTTTGTATTGATTTTAAAATGTAAGTCTTGCATTGCCAATATTCAATTTCACCCTCCATTTCTCATCATGGGTAGAGGAAAAGGATGATAGTGGAAAAGGAACAGAACTCTTCCCCATGATACTAATATTACTAGAAAATTTTACTTCTCTACTTAGGAGTCAAAGGAGGGCATCTGCCTTCTTTCATTTTACCTACTTCCCTCCCTAAGCCACATTTCTCCATATGTGCAATGTGGGAATTCATGGCCTTTCAAAAGTTACATCCCCATGATAGGATAAGTTCACTGGATTAGAAATCTCAAGCCTTGAGAGGCCCTGTCCTGCGGAGGTGGCAGGTCAATTTCAGCTGTGAGGGAAAAGCCAGGGCACTCAGGGAAAGGGCCCTGTGTGTTGGGGCTGGGGGTGGAGTGGCACAGGGAAGCATGGGACCTGTTCAGAGGGCACCAGAGGAGTCCATGCCAGGGGAAAAAGGATCCTAATGTAGAAAAACTGGAACCCAGGATGGGGTGGTGACATAGGCACAGTAAACCTATAATAAACTTTACCAGGTTGCTTTGACTGGGATCATCACCTAAATCCATTATTATGTGTATTCAGAAGTCTAATTAATGAATATTATAATTGGTGATGGTGATTAGAAAGTAAAGGATACTCAGAACTGCAACTATAAACATATATATACTTACCCATCCCAGTGCCTGCTGGTGCAATTTCTCTTGAAAAAATTTCCAGTGCCTTCTTCTCTTTATGATGTACTGAAAGCCAAAGAACTACTTCTCGAGGACCCTGTTGACAAAGAGTAGAAATGAACAACTGCAAGTCAAAATAAGGCACAATCTGTATTTGCGGACCATAAGAGATTTTTTTTCTGGGCTATATAAATATTTCTGGTATGCATGTTTACTATAAGAAATTTATTATTATAAGTTTATGTCATATCTACATGTTCACAAAATAAACATCTTATTAAAGATAGATGATAAAACTCTTAGTCCCCTATATATTAATAATCATTATTTTATTTTAGGAACTTAACTTGACACATAGTAAAGATAGGTTGGAAATTACCTAAAATTGTATTTGTAAAATGCCTTTGTTGTTTTTCCCATTTATCCTTTCTTTTATTTAATTGATGCTCATTACATTTTTTCTTAAAAGGGTGATAGTTTCTTAGTTTTTTTTTAATCCTCACATGAGGATATGTTTTTTATTGATTTTAAAGAGGAAGAGAGAGAGAAACATTGATTCAAGAAACATGTATCAGTTGCCTCTCATATATACCCCAACTGGGAATCAAATCACAACCTGAATGATGCTCCAACCCACTGAGCCTCACTAGCCAGGGCAATGCCCATTACTTTTTCATATGACAGATGATTTTAAATTATATGTGTAAAATTGCTATAGCTCCTGAAGAATATTTGCATCAAAGATGACCTATAATATTTGGGTAGTTCATAGCATTAATCAATTATCCTACTTGGAAACAGAATTAACTATAAAGTATATAAATAAAAATGTCATTTAAAAATTTTAAGAATTCAGCATCACCGTCTTTGAAATGTGTGGTGATTTAGAAATTCACTGGAAAGAGTGAAATTCTAAGGTCTAGTTCTGCCTCTTATTCTGAAGATCTGCTTGTCCTTAATTATCAATTCATGTCTCTATAATTTTATTTTCTTTTCAGTAAAATAAAGATTCTATCAGCTTTCTAACTACTTCATAGAGTCAGCAATATAAAATAATGTGACATTAGATGTGAAATATTTATTCAAGTACAAATAATAGCTGTAATTATTTTAATAAAACCAATAATTACCTTCTACTTTTTCCATTATATGTACTGTCAATCTCTCCCTCTAAAACCAAATTAATGAATCTGACTATTTAATTATGTGACTATGATAAATACAGGTCCATGGGCACATTATGAAAAATAGACATTAAGTACTGTTTTCAAGCAAGCTTTAATGAAGAGTCCCTTTCAAACAACAGACTAAAGTTGGCTTTCACAAAAACCTTTTATTTTATGTTCTACATTCACTCAATCTAATTCAGTCAATTAAATATGGCAATTAAAAAATTTGGCAATTAAATCACCTAGCAACTAATAGAGCACACATTTCTGCGTACAATGAAATATCTACACTTTGACACCTGGTTCTTGTTTCTGAGTTTTATCAAGCATCTAAAATTTCTCATATAATTCTAAATAGCCCCTAAGTTTATATCCTGACCTTACCACACACTAGTCTACAAAATAAAACACAGGAGTTCTTGGCATTTGGGGGTTTTCTACAACAAAATGAAAACAGGCTGCAAAAATTATGCAACCAACAATTCTTTCTCCAAAATAAAATATTTACCCAATGTTTTGTTGAGCTCACTGTTTTGTATAGAAGAGAAAATTCCTAAACAGGAAAGAATCTTAATAAAGCTCTGATACAAATACTTCAATTATTTAATATACCTAAGACTAATATATAAAAATATTATTTTTCTTTTCTAAAATATAATGAATTATCTTGTTATATTTACTCAAGCCTTAATAATTCAGTTACAAAGAGTTTAGATCTTTTTAATTAACTCTACATTGGAAAGAAACTCTTGCTCCTAGGGTTAAAAGTGCAAATGCTAAGGGACTGTAGGGGGGTCAAAATGGGGTCCTGTTCCTCCTCTTTAGCACTCTAATCACAAGCAAATTACTCAACCTCTCTGTGCCTGAGTTTCTGCATTTAGAAAATGGAAATATCAACACATACCTACAAGGGTTGTTGTGATAGCTGTGACCACAATAAAGAATTTAGAACGGTGCCTGGCACATATTAACCTTTCAATTGGTGTGATTGTTACTGTTCTTTCCCATACATTTTTCCATCTTTGATTAATGCTTAAGTGAAAGCAATAACAAATGGCCAAAAAAAATCTACAAATAATCCAGAATAATAAAATGGCCAAACCTTTGAGATTATGGCTGTTGAGGCTGAAAATTCCTAAAAATTATTCAAAATGGTTAAAGATGTAAGTAGAAAGTTATATAAGATACACCCATAATAATGCTGTTAGAATTAAATATATGATAGAGAGAAAAAAACTATTCGGATAAAGTCAAATTAATTATCCAGAATTTAATGAGACATTGATAAGAATTCATATTTTAAAAATAATCTCAAAATGCCTTGAAGTAGATTAATGAAATTGATTTTTAAAGGTGGTCACAATAGATTTGACATATATTATATATTGAATTTTTTTTATGTCTGCCAAAAACCAATTCTGAGTCTCTTATACCTTTCTAGAGAATTTCCTGTAAGAATGAAATAAATTTGGGGAGATCTGGGGGAGATAAGAGATCAACCGAAGGACTTGTATACATGCATATAAGTACAACCAATGGACACAAAACTCTGGGGAGGGAGGGTATATACTGGAGGGGGGGGCATTGGTATATGTACAAAAATAATAATTTAATAAAAAATATATTAAAAAAAAAGAATGAAATAAATGTTATTTCTGTTTTTGCTGCTAAAGAACAACATATGTATTAAGAACTCATCAGAAGTTAGAAATTTAAATTTCATAGCTCTCTAAACACTTTTGAAGAAAACCATATTTGTGACATCCAAAAGCCTACACATAACTCAAATATTAAATGATAAGAAAGAAAAATAGGGCAAATTTTGCAGTAGGCAAATAGAAAATTCAAACTGAATAACCAGCTTGTTGTATAACATAGATTTAAAAAAATAGATACTATAAAATTGAAGTAACCCAAAGTTCACAACCCATTAAACCTTAGGTCAGTCTTTACAATAAATACTTTCATCTGTAAGTGATTAAGAATATTACAAACCATTCACTTACATTGGAACTTAAGAAATATGGGCTGTTCTACTTACTCCATTTAAATTTGCTTTAGCTTGTGCTCCATATGTTTCTTCAGATCCTAAAATTTGTACGTGAACTTCACTATAATCTTCTAAGCCAGCTTTTTCAAACATAAGACGAGTCCTGCAGCAAAGTATATGTGACCAAAAAAAAAAAAAAAAAATCATGAATTTTTGGTATATTAACTCCAACATTCCTTTAGTTTTTGATTTTTGATAAAAATCACCCATTTTGAATGTTCAACAATTATAGTTGAAGGACTGGAGCAATTTAGGGCATTTGGGGTATCGCGTCATTCCTGAATATTAGCTTTAGCTTCAAATCACAGCATTTGGTATGTTATGGCCTCAATGTCCTAATTTTCTCAACAGTCTAAAATTGAAGAGTTTTCTCTTTGACCCAATAATTACAGGTGCAAGTATTTTTTAAGTTTCTGAGGGATTAGCGTTCAGTTGCTTCAGTTTTATTATTAATCTGTTGTATTACATGGGGTCAAAGGCTGTGATCTGCAAAATGTCTACTTTTTGAAGTGGATTAAGGTAGCCCTGAGGATGCTTGGAAACAAGGTGCATACTTGTCTGTTGGGGGAGAATGTTCTATCTGTAGCTATTAGTTCAATACTATATATTATTCTAATACTCTGTGCTCTTTTTAACTTGATAAATACTAAGATCTGTTAAAGTCTTCCACAGCAATTATATTTCTCTCCACTTTTATTAATGTACCTAGCAGTTCTGACCTAAATGTCTCAATGCCATATTATTTAGCACATCTACATGAACTTTATTGTGTATGATACATTTTATGCTATTTTAATTTTACTTTACTATCACTATCAAATCCCATTTTTTTTCTTTCTCATTCTCCTCTTCCTTTTTTACCTCCTTACTCTTTTTCTTGTTTCTTGCCTATTCTGATTTTTTTTTTAACTTTTTTCAATTGTTTTATTTCAATGTGCATTATAACACTTAGTTGAATATTGATTTAAATGGATTCTAAGAGACTACCATTTAAAAATATATTTTTATTGGTTTCAGAGAGAGGAAGGAAGAGAGAAATAGAAACATCAATGATGAGAGAAAAATCACTGACCAGCTGCCACCTGAACACTCCCTACTGGGGATGAAGCCTGCAACCTGAGCATGTTCTCTGACTGGGAATGAATCCATGACTTTCTGGATCGTAGGTTGACGTTCAATCACTGAGCTACCCTAGTTGTGCTAAGAGACTATCTTTTGATTGAGCAATTTATAACATTTATGTTCACTTATAGAACTATGATTTTGACTTGACTTTTGACAACTTGTTTGATGCTTTTTTTGTTTTAATGTTTGCTTTGTCTTAAGACATTTGGAATAGTCATTCATTCAGCAATATTTACTGAATAATGTGTCAGATATCGTGATATGTAACTATGTTTTCATTGCTTTATTTAAGTACCTAAAAAGGTACTTATCCTTTAGGTTTATCTGTTTAAACATCACTTAGTAAAGCCTTCCTTACCTGCTAAATTTAAATTATGTTCTCCTATTATTCTTTTTTATAATACTCTTTACTATTTATTCAAAGTACTTTTCAAATCTTTATTTGTCAGATATTAGTTTAGTGTTTATCCACATACTAAACTCAATGAGGATAGCCACCCTGTCTGGTCACAACTATATAGTCAGGGTCCAGAAATGATTGGCATGCAGTAAGTGATTCAAATGTTGGTTGAAAGAGAGAATTCATTCATTCATTCACAGACAATGTAGAGAATTAAAAATTCAAATTGTAGTTGTCTTTAACTTAAAAAAAAACACTTTAATCCTTTATCAAATGATGGAATTATGGGCTATTTTCATTCATTTTTCCTGTTTATGTAATTTTTTTCACCTTAAAATATTTTATGATCATCACTGTTGATAAAGATTTGAAATAAGGTTATATGAGTTTCTTCTCATTAAAAAGGAAATTAGCACTAATTTGCCTTTTTATATCTATCACCAATACTTATTTTTACTGATGGGGGTTTGAATCTTTAACCCGGATTCTCTTGATTAACTCAATAACATACTTTAAATGCATAACATAGTAGGGAGCTTTACTCCTGTGGATGTGAATTATTTAATTCAGGCATTAGAAAATTTTATAAAAGTTGCTAAATTAAATTTCTTTATATGGATTTTTTTGTTTTTGTTTTTTAAGAAGAGAGAACTCTCTGGGACAAACAAAGTTATTTCCTGACATCAAACACTTGTAGGTATGATATGACCTGTGAAAGGGTCAATTGTTTCTGACTATTGCCTGTGTGCATTATGTTAACTTTCTAAACATAATCTTTAGGTTAAGGGGGAAAAAAGTATGTTTTCTAGTAGAATTTAGCATCCATAAAACTTTTCTAATACCTGTTTCTAGGTATCTGTGCATGCTAAACTGTAAAATGGTTGGTGCAGGGCTTATTTGTACCTGCTGCTTACTGTATATGTGCTGAATGAACATATAAATACTTTCAGGGGAAATGTTAAGTGACCATGATACAATTTTAATGATTCCTGTTAAATAACTTGGTCACTGCCATGCTTTAAATTTAGTTAGACTAGAAAACACATCTTTTTGTTTCACATACAAACCTTTTCAAAATACTCTCAGCTGTTCTCCTTCCCTTTTCAGTAGCTTTTGGCCCTCCAATTGGGCAGACAGCAGTTGCTCTGAAACCATCGTGATAAGAAGCGCTTACCTGATGACATAAGGTTACAACTGTAAACAACAGTATCATCTATGTCAACAATAATATGCCCTAGAATGGACCATGTAACTACTGATCAGAAATTATCTTTTCAGTTCCAAGTACATTTAAAGTTGCATTTTCTTAAATGAAATGATAATTTTCATAGAGGTAAAGTGGAAGCTTTAAAAATTAATGGTGGAGCCCGGCCAGTGTGGCTCAGTGGTTGAGCATTGACCTATGAACCAGGAGGTCACAGTTTGATTACTGGTAAGGGCACATGCCCAGGTTGCAGGCTCAGTCCCCAGTGTGGGACATCAGAAGGCAGCCAATCAATGATTCTCTCTCATCATTGATGTTTCTATCTCTCACTTTCTCTCTCTTCCTCCCTAAAATCAATAAAAATATATTTAAAAAATAAATGGTGGTAGGTAAGGTTATAATAAAAATGTAATTTCACTGTAAAAAGTTAGAAAAATATATAAAAACTGTTTTAATCACAATTGTGGCTTTATTTTTTTATGGAGATATGGCAGAGTTTCAAGAAACTAAAGCTCTAACTGCAAAAATTAGCATAGATCCTATAAGTACTGACTAAATTATGGAAGAAACTGGCCCAACTGTGAAGGCACATCCTGATTACCAAATGACAAAAACTACAGAACAACAACTCAAGAGCAAATTAAGACTTAAAGTTCATTGTAAGAAATACATTATTTAAAAACTACTTTTGAGTCAACACTGAATTCACTAAGTTATTTAAACATTCTACTAACTAAATTAACTAAATAATTAATTACAACTATATTTGACCTTGATTTCTGAATTTAGAAAAGTATTTTTTGTGGCTTTAATTGTGCTATTTAAGCTTCTAATCAAACTTTTTCTTCTACTTGGGACAAGAATTTAGAAATACTCCATTGGAAACAATCTAAATGTTCAACAAGGATGTAATGATTAAGTAAAACCATGACATATGCCAATAATGGAATGCTATGAAGCATTTTTGAAATAATGTTGAAAGTATTTAATCATGAAGAAATACTTCTAATGTCAAATTAATATAATAGAAATATCAAAATATGTGTTTATATTTGTATGTGACTGCCACACATTTTTGCTTATTCTAGTTTGTCTCTTGCAATAAAAAAGTCCTAACTAGAATATTTATAGATTATAAATAACAAATCCATTTTAAAAACTTCAGTTTGTTTTTTTAGAAAACGGATGCTTTACTTTTAGGCAGAGCATCACTTCATAGCCTTCAGAGCCCTTGTTAAAGCAACAGCCTAAAAAAAAGCACATTGGCCTAAATTTTGTTTTCTGCTATGAACATATAAAATGTAAAATAGTAATATCATACAGATATATGTTCTTTGTCTTAATACTTCAAAACCTATCCTCTGGTCCTTCTTTATGGTGCTTTGTAATTGTGGTACTATCATATACACTGGTAGTTTCATATAAATAATGATTACCCTAAATTTAAGGAATTACCATAGCATAAGTTCTGTAATTTAAATATACCAATTAATCTTACCAATATCAAGAAATCAAAGGTGGTCTGTGGGCTTGTCCTCACCTCCCCATATTTCTGTCTACTTTCTACAGGAAATTAATACTTTATGCCTAATTAAATCTCCTATCTATTGCACAGAGGGAAATTAATGTGTCTCCTCCCTGAATTCAAAGCAGGTAACAAAATCACACAAGAGAAAAGACCTTGTAAAAGGAAGAAGGAAGTGACCCCTTTGCTCCTTGAACCCACACGGCTCCACCTTCAACACCTAAACATTAAAGAGAAAATCAGGATCACTTTTTTTAGTACAAAATCTGTTCATTATTTTTAATACATGGTTGTGTTTTTTAAATTAACTCAAAATTTAAAGAATGGAGAATATTAGAAGTTCCCCTAAACCAAGACATGAAACTTATTTTAACTTGCTACCTATTTAAATTACATCATTGACAAGATCACAACTGGCCTTTAAAGCTTTTGAACTCATCCTGGTGAAATGAAAAGATCTTTATTAGCCTCATCAATAAAATTGTCATTACTCAGTGAAGTGTCAGAGAAGTTGGGCTAATTACAGCTTAACACAGTTGACATTCTCATCTCATACTGTGGTTGTGTGCCACTTTACATGTCTATATCCATACCATCATCTCTCTGAACAAAGTAACATCTAAAACACTACTCAGGATGAGTAAAATCATGGTATGAAAACAAAGTGGGTATTAATAAGAATTGATTTTAAGCAAGAAGATATATATCAGTGGATAAATAATATACATGCCTGCATTATTTGGAAAATGTGATAAGATATATCATAATTTTGCAGATAATAGGTAATTTCCAAGAGAAGCAAAAATCTTAGTCACTATCTTCCTATCCCTGAAAACATTCTGAGAGTTTTTAAATCTAACTTATTTAACAATATTTGTGCAATCAATAATAAAGAAAACTTTACATTGTCAAAACAAGGATTATTATAGCTTTGTCACACTTTTAGCTTTAGTATCTATTTGATCAAACAAACATTTTGTTTCTGGGAGCACAAATTGTTGAAGGAGCAAGGATTGGAAAATCTAGGAGACCTAGATTTAAATCCCCATTTAGCTGTGTGCTCTCAGGCAAATTACTCAACCTCTCCGTTTCCTCTTCTGGAAAATGAGCATACACACTACCTCAGAAGAGAGCTGTAGGTGAAATACTTATAAGGAGCACATCTCACACCATGGTAGTGCTGGTAGAACAGTGGTGGTCAATTAATTTCCCTCTTCCTTTCTCAAGTGACTGTTCAGAAACCCCATGCATTTTGAACTGAATTCCTAGCTGCAAACCATTCAACGTGAAAAACATATCTGATTCAGATGCTACAACCTGAAATGAACCTTAAAAGGCCTGATTTGAAACAATATTATTGCAATAGGTTCAATAAAGCTCTTAGAGTTTCTTACATTTTATGACCCAGGTTAGCTTTGTCTTTAAATGTATGTATAAGTATCAAGGTTTAAAATCAAGAAGCCACACAAAAATACATAACCCAAACCTCTTAATTCAGGCATATAATATAATGAAACAGCCTACAGTACCATACAGTCAGCAAAGTAAACATCGGCCGGAGATAGCTGGCCTTGCTGTCTCTGTTAAACATGTCAAAGTACAGCATCTGAAAATATTTTAAAAATCTGCCTAATTTCCATCTGTTATACTTCTCAGAGGATAACTAAAAGTTCATGTGAAAGTTCATGCTAAGTTCAAATATGTCATGTCAGGGCATTTACAGGATAAAAGTTCACTGGGAGTTTATTATTTTTTTTTAAAAGACTGAAGTGGAAAAAGAATAAATATACTAATTAAAGTTATTTTACATTGCATTACGACCACCGCATTTTAAAGCACCATAAATACAAATTATACATTTTAAAAGGCCATGTGCAGTGCATAATGGCAACAGTGATGATTTCCCTGAGATAGCAGCCTTGAGACTGTTCTGAGAGAAGCAGCCGCAGATCAATTTTGGTTGTTCTCCATATTATTTAAAGAGCAAGTTGTCACATTTTATCTGGTATTGAATACTTTGTTTAAACTACATATTTAGAAACAGTACTATAGAGACATAGAAAAAAGAGAGGAACATCAGAAATAACAAATGAATACACTAACAAATGAATTTCACAAATATTGCACTTTTCACAAATTGAGGTTTGTGGCAACCCTGTGTCCAGCAAGTCTATTGGTGTCATTTTCCTAACAGTATTTGCTCGTTTCCTTTATCTGGGTCACATTTTGGTAAGTCACAACATTTCATAGTCTTTCATGATTATATTTATTACTAGAGGCCCAGTGCAGGAATTCGTGCATGGATAGGGTCTGCCAGCGTGGCCCTGATCAGGCCCAATTAGGGCCGGGCTGGCCTGGGGGAGGGGCTGTGGGCAATTGGCTGGCAGGCCTGGTCTCCGATTGGGATAGAGAGGCCTACTGGGGGTGGGGCCATACATGGGGAGGGTCTGTGGGCATTGCACTGGCCAGCCGTGCCCCCAAATAGGGTGGAGGAGCCAATTGGGCCAGTGGCAGTGGGAGAGGGGCCATGGGAGGTTGGCCAGCTAGCCCCACCTCTAATCGGCCAGTTTGCTGGCTGCAGTGGGCATCATAGTGACTGGTCATTACGGAGTTCTGGTTGCTGGTTTTATATATATATATATACAGATGGTGATCTCTGGTAAGTGTTCTTTGAGTTACTATTGTAATTGCTTGGAGGAGCCACAAACTGTGCCCATATAAGATGGCAAACTTAATAAATGTCTATGTTCTGACTGCTTCACTGAAGAGCTGTTCCCATATCTCTTCCTCTTCTGGAACCTTCCTAATCCCTCAGACACAAAAAAAATGAAATTAGGCCAATTAATATCTTACAATGGCCTCTAAGTATTCAAGTGAAGAGTCACAAGTCTCTCATTTTAAATGAAAAACTAGAAATTATTAAGCTTAGTGAGGAAGGCAAGTAAAAACAATTGAGACAGGCTGAAAGCTGGGCCTCTTGAAACCAACCAGGTAGCCAGATTGTTAATGCAAAGGGGAAGTTCTTGAAGGAAATTAAAAGTGCTACCTCAGTCAACACATGGCTGATAAGAAAGTGGAACAGCTTTCATTGCTGATATGGAGAAAGTTTCAGTGGTTTGGATAGAAGATCAAAAGAGTCATAAATTCCCTGAAGCCAAATCCTTATCCAGAGGAAGGCCTTGACTCTCTTCAATTCCAGGAAGACTGAAAGCTGCAAGGAAGCGGCAAAAGAAAAGCTGGAAGCTAGCAGAGGCTGGTTCATGAGGCGTAAGGGTAGCCATCTCCATAAAATAGAAGTTCAAGGTGAAAAAGCAAGTGATGATGTAGAAGCTGCAGTAAGTTACCCAGAAGATCTAACTGAAATAATGCAAGTGGCAGCACTAAACAACAGATTTCCAATGCAGACAAAAGCAACAGCCTTCTACTGGAAGAAGAGGCCACCTATGACTGTCATAACTAGCGAAGAGACGTTAACGTCTGGCTTCAAAGTTTCAAAGGACAGGCTGTTAGGCATTAATGCAACTCCTGACTTTAATTTAAAGCCAACACTCATTTATTATTATGAAACTCTTAGGGCCTTTAAACATTAGGCTAAATCTACTCTTCCTGTTCTTTAGATGTGAAACAACAGTATATCTGTTTAGTCGTCTTCTACGCCGGAAAATACGGTACATGTTCTACTGAATGTTATAAGCTCACTAGTGAGACCTATTGCTCACACAAAAAAAGATTCCTTTCAAATATAACTGCTCATTGACAATTCACCTGGTCACCCAAGAGCTCTGAGGGAGATGTACAAAGAGATTAGTGTTGGCCCTAGCCAGGTAATTCAGTTGGTTAGAGCGTCATCCCAATATGCCAACATTGTAGGTTCAATCCACAATCAGGGCACATACAAGATTCAACCAATTATGCATAAATAAGTAGGACAACAAATTAATGTGTGTGTTTTTTTCTCTCTCCTTTCTTCCACTTCCTCTCTTTGAAAAAATACGAGAGACACTAATGTTGTTTTTATGCCTGCTAACACGACATCCATTCTTCAGCCTACGGATCAGGAGTACTTTTGATTTTCAAGACTTATTTACAAAATTCATTTTATATAGCTGCCAGAGACAGTGATGGATTTGCCCAAAGTAAATTGAAAGCCTTCGTCTTTCTCAATGCCATTAAGAACATTCATGATTCATGAGAAGAGGTCAAAATACCAACATTTGCAGCAGTTGGGAAGAAGCTGATTCCAACCCTCATGGAAGAGTTTGAGGGATTCAAGACTTCATCAGAGGAAATAACTGCAGATGTGGTGGAAATAGCAAGAGAACTAGAATTAGAAGCGGAGCCTAAAGACGGGACTGAATTGCTGCAACCTCACCGTGAAACCTAAATGGATAAGGAATTGCTTCTTGTGTTTGAGCAAAGAAAGTGGCTTCTTGAGATGGAACCCACTCCTGGTGAAGATGCTATAAAGACTGTTGAAATGACAACGAAGGATTGAGAATATTACAAAAGCTTAGCTGATGAAGCAATGGCAGGGTTTGAGAGCACAGACTCAAATGTTGAAAGATCTCCTGTGGGTAATATGCTATCAAAGAGCATAGCAGGGCACATAGAAATCATTTGTGAAAGGAAGAGTCAGTCAATGCAGCAAACATAACTGTTGTTTGCTTTTAGGAAATGCCACAGCCATCCCAGCCTTCAGCAACCATCACCCTGATCAATCAGTAGCCCTTGACCTCAAGGCAGGACCCTCTTCCAGCAAAAGATCATGACTCACTGAAGACTCAGATGATGGTTAACATTTTTTCAGCAAAAAGGTATTTTAAAATTAAGGTATATACATTGTTTTAAAAATATATAATCTTATCTTACACTAAACAGACTAGAATATAATATAAACATAACTTTTCTATGCACTGGGAAACCAAAACATTTGTGACTTGCTTTACTGCTATATTCTCTTTACTGAGGTGATCTGGAACCAAACTTGCAATACCTCTGAAGTATTCCTGTATAATCTTACTACTTAGCTCAGTGATCGGCAAACTGCGGCTCTTTGGCCCCTTGAGTTTTTAGCAAAGGCCAGTTTAGGAGTACCCTAATTAAGTTAATAACAATGTACCTACCTAAATACACAAAAAATTATGTCTTAAACTTTTGTGTATATAGTAACTGCTACTCTTCTAAATTTTTCAAAAAATATGAAGGTTTTACCCAAAAGAAAATCTTATTTATTTATTTATTTTGCTTCAGCAATTCAAACAATATTGACTAATGTTTGCTCCATTTAGACTTTTTTCAGGGATTTAGTAATTTTGTCCCAAATGAAACATATTCCATTTGGCTTCCTACATTTTCCATAAGTAGCCTACCATTGGCGAACCTTAAATAGCATTCTTAGCAATTGCAAACTAAAAGTCATCTCTATTTAGCTAAGTCAGTGGTTGGCAAACTCATTAGTCAACAGAGCCAAATATCAACAGTACAACGATTGAAATTTCTTTTGAGAGCCAAAACTTTTAAAACTTAAACTATATAGATAGGTACATTGTTATTAACTTAATTAGGGTACTCCTAAGCTGGCCTTTGCTAAAAACTCAAGGGGCCAAAGAGCCGCATGTGGCTCGCGAGCTGTAGTTTGCCAACCACTGACATAGAGTTTTCAAATTATCTACACATCTGGCTTAGAAAAGATGATACTGGAATTGAAAACAATTACAATTTTATGTTAAAAACTTCTAGGGAGAAAGGGAGAGAATGTAACACTTGAACACAAGACCTTATTAGTCACTGACCTGGAATTTCAGTAATGGAGACTTGAGAAAAGTCACAAGTGACATCAGGTAACAGAAAACGCTGAGGATCACCAATCTCATACACCAGCTGCTCAGCCACCGTGCCAAAGGAAACCATTCCCCCAGTGCCAGGGGGCTTGGAGAGGATGAACCGTCCATCAGGAAAGCATTCCAGTACGGGAAATCCTATGTTGTGCCTGGGTGGAAATCAGGGAACACTGCAGTTCACAACAGCCTGGAAGACAGCCTCAGGACAAGATATTACATCATACCAAACAATACGTTTGATGAGGAACAATAACTCAAAGCTGTAATTTTCCATATTACCTTTTAAAACCATATGACGGTTTACTCATGTGTGATATGTACTGAATATGGGTGATGTCTGGGAGCCAAACAGAAAGAAATCACATTGAGAGGAATGGAAGAATATTTTAGTATAAAAAATTAGAGAACTGGTTTTCAGAAGGTTTGGAAATGGTCTCTCCCTCCTCTTTTTTTTTTTTTTTTTTTTAATATATTTTTATTGATTTTGTACAGAGAGGAAGGGAGAGAGATAGAGTTAGAAACTTTGATGAGAGAGAGTCATTGATCAGCTGCCTCTTGCACACCCCCTACTGGGGATATGCCCGCAACTAAGGTACATGCCCTTGACCGGAATCGAACCCGGGACCCTTCAGTCCCCAGGCCGACGCTCTATCCATTGAGCCAAACCGGTCTCGGCTCTCTCCCTCCTCTTGATGGGAAGTGATGAGGACCCCTATGAGACGGCAGGAGCTGTGACATCTAGAGGGCTGCACATCACTAGATTTCTGCCCCATCAAATTTCTCTGGTCTCTAATAAGTCTCAGAGTGACCACGGCTTACTCCATTAGTGATCAGCTGGGTTCTCCCTCCCTCTCTTAATTATAAAGCCAAAATGGTGAAATTTGGGCCTCGGCTCTCAAAGAACTATTTGTTTATAAAGTTGATCTTCTGTTAACTAAGAAGCATAAAAATAAACAAAAGGGGGGGGGGTTAAGGTTAATTTAGAGAATGTAGAGTTATATGATCCTATTTTGCTTCTGAAATGGTCATTTAGTAATGTTAAAAATTAAACATGACCTTTAAAAGAAATTCCCCACTGATTTTTAGAAGGGGGAAGAGAAGGGGAAGGAGAGAAGGAGGGGGAGGAGTAGTGCAAAACAATAAAATAAAAATGAACACTTTATTAAAAACTTGATTAAAAACGTACATACTACATATCACTCATAATAATGCAATGACAATAGATATTACCAGCACCTAATTCTGTAGAGGGTTACATTGAAGCACATAAAGGCTGAGTAATTTGTCCCATTTCATGGAGTAGGAAGTAGTAGAACCAGGACGCCAAGCAATGTCTCTAGAGATTATGTTCCTTGATTGTTATTATGAGCTAAGAGATGTAGCTGATAGCTGTAGGAATGCAAAGATCCATGCCCTTAAAAAGTTTACAACCTAGCTGAACAGATAAGGCCAAGACGATGAAATCTAGGATCTCAGGTTTCCGACAGGTCATTAATCTGTTTCACAGTTGAAAAGCTGTTGCACTGGAAGCAAGAGGCATGGAAACCAATTAGAAGACTACTAGAGGCCCAGTGTGCAACAGTTGTGCACTGGGGGGAGGGGGTTCCCTCAGCCCCACAGGCAGGGACCCCTCAGGGATGTCCGCCACCTAAGCCAGCAGGTAGACATCCCCCAAGAGGTCTTTAGTCCTGTGGAAAGGGAGAGGCTCCTGCTACCACCCACCACTGTGCTCACCAGCCATGAGCCCGCCAGTGTGGTGAGCGCAGCAGCGGTGATGGGAGCCTGACCGCCTCTGAAGCAGCACTAAGGAGCAGCAAGCTCCACTGTGGCTGCGGCACTCCCCCTGTGGGAGCACATTGACCACCACCAGGGGGCAGCTCTAGCGTTGAGCATCTACCCCCTGGTGATCAGCGCATATCAAAGTTGACCGGTCCTTCTGTCTGCTCAATTTGCGTATTAATTACCCTTTTATTATATAGGATAAGATAGTCTTCAGGATCTGCATAAGAAACCTACAAATGTGGATAAATATGAAAGAAGTGAAAGACGTGCATTGAAAATTGACCTTATTGAAGATTAATGAGATAAAGGGAGTCTAAGGAAGAGGAAAAAAAGATCACCAGAGACTACGTCAGTGGGGGAGTCCAACCATATCACTGTCAAAATGTACAGTTTTGCCTGGCTGGTGTGGCTCAGTGGAGGAATGTCAAACTATGAACCATGAGGTCACAGTTCAGTTCCCAGTCTGGGCACCTGCCTGGTTGCAGGCTCGATTTCACAATGAGGATGTGCAGGAGGTGGCCAATCAATGATGTTTTTCTCATCATTGATGTTTCTATTTCTCTCTTCCTCTCCCCTCCTCTCTGAAATAAAAAAAATATATATTTTTAAAACATATACAAGACTTCAATACAGGCTGTTGAGTTTAAGGTAAGAATAAAATTATAAACAAAAGCAAATCTATTCAGGTATTCCTAGCAGAGTTGTGTGCAGGGCAGTAGATATAAATCTGGATGTCATCTGCTCCCATGCAAGTGTCAACACTGCAAAAGCAGATGAGCATTCTGAGGGAGAGAACTCAGACCTTAAGAGCGAAGACCTAAGGACACATCTCCCATTGGTGACATAAGTCTCAGGTTTTATTGCTTCCTACTAGGCTGGCACCATATGACAGCCTAGGAAGAGGGGAAGGAAGAATTAGAAAGAAGACTGAGCAGCACCTGCCTGATTCTAGACAAAGTTGAGAGGAAGAGTAGGCAATAAGACTCAAAAGAGACTGCCACTGACTAGACTGACAGGGGTCTGCAAAGTCGTCTCTAGATTCTTAATTTACATTAGAAGCAAAGGCCTATGCATTATACCAAGCTTCTTCTTAGTAAGTTGGCTCATGTTGTAGGAGCCTCTTAGAGTTGAGATCAAGAGACTTCTCACAACATAGCCCTAGATGGAACAGGATTACAGAAAAAGTAATTTGTCCTGACCTGTTTGGCTCAGTGGATAGAGCATCATCCTGAGGACTCAAGGGTCCCAGATTAGATTCCGGTCAAGGGCATGTGCCTTGGTTGCAGGCATATCCCTGGTGGGGGGTGTGCAGGAGGCAGCTGGTCGATGATTCTCTCTCATCAATGTTTCTAGCTCTCTATTTCTTTCCCTTCCTCTCTGTGAAGAATCAATAGAATATATGTATATTTTTTTAAAAAAAAAAGAAGAAAAAGAAAAAGTAATTTACCAGCATGTTCTGAAATGTCAATGTTTCAGTATATTTAGTGTATTTAGTTCTAAGAAAGTGAGACTCTGTTTCTATTTAGGTATGTATTCGTTTCCTAAGGCTGACAAGTAGAGTGAAGCTCTCTTGAGGGCTCTAGGGGAGAATCCTTCCTTCCTTGTCCTTTTTCCTAGCTTCAGGCGTTCCTTGGTTTGTGGATGCATCACCCAATTCTTTCTTCACAGGATCTTTACATTGTTTTCCCTCTGTATGTGTCTTCCACGAACTCCAAATTTCTTTTTATAAGAAGAAAAGTCCTTTTGGAATAGGACTCACCCTACTGATCTCATTTTGACTTGATCACCACTGTAAAGACCCTATTTCCAAACGAGGTCACATTCTAAGGCACTGGAGGCTAGAACTGCAACATATCTTTGGGGGGGGGGGGGTGTAATTCAACCCCAAATAGGTACATAGCTCAGCCTAATAATAAACTAGAGACCATAATAAAATATAATATGTTATTTTAGGGAAGAATAGTTTTTAACATGCCAAAAAGAATTCTCCTCAAACTTAGCTCTGAATTCTAATAAGGTAATGATGACTAGGGTAAAACGTTTGTCTATATTTCACAATACAAATAAAATGCAATATATAGTACAAAAAAAAACAATTCAAATTTTAAAATAACAATAATTATAGTTTCACAAACAGAAAATCCTATATAATAAAAGGCTAATATATAAATCAACTGAATGGCTGAACAACCAGTTGCTATGATGCACACTGATCACCAGGGGACAGATGTTTAATGCAGGAGCTTCCCCCTGGTGGTCAGTGTGCTTCCACAAGGGGAGCTGCTCAGCCAGAAGCCAGGCTCACAGCAGTGGCAGTGGTAGGAGCCTCTCCTGCCTTAAGGACCCCTTGGGGGATGTCCTCTGAGGGGTCCTGGACTGTGAGAGGGTGCAGGCTTGGCTGAGGGACCCCTCTCCTCTAGTAAAATTTATAAATGTAGATGTTACATGCCATGCTATAACATACATATATACAAAATACAGCTCCTTACCAGTCTGGCACCAAATGCCAATCTGTGAATATTCCACCAGTACTTTGAGCACCACATTCAATGAGATGGCCTGCAAGGCTACAAAGCAAACAACAACAATAAAAAATAGCATTAATATGGTGAGAAAATTTTTCAATGCCTTCCCAGATATAAAATAATATTATAAATGAAATTTTATATGTGAAGGTATTGTCATAAAAGTAAGAAAAACCTTGGTCATTTTGTTTTATTTTGTTTTGTTTTGTTTTAACAAATCAGGGTAATGCTGCAGAAAGGCTAGTTTGGAATAACAGAAAATGGCCTGATCTGAGAATCACGGGAACCTAGGCCAAGTGACAGACTGGTCAAAATGGGACTAATGCATCACTGATAAGGTTGTGAGCATTAACTGAAATAAAAACATGTGAAAGCATCATGAAAACTGCAAAATGCTTCCACATGTAAGTTATTACCAGGGTTAAAGTGTGACATTAAATTGTCATTATATTATAGAATAGAGGAGAAAATATATAAAATATTACCATCCTATTTGATATGTTAATGAACTAAAACTTATCAACATGTCTACTATGAAAACTCACTCTTCAAAAATCTGAAAGATCTAAAGCTCTTTATGGAGCTGACAACCTGGGATAATAAAGCACTCAAGTTTAGTTATTGGGCCTGTGTGAACTCAGCCTCCACCACATAACTAGCTCTGTGACTTTGGACAACTTACACAACACTACTGTGCATCAATTCCCTCCTCTCTCACATGGGGATAACAACATCTGTCTAATAAGAAAATTGTGAGAATAAAAAATAATTTTGTGAAGTGCCTATCAAGTCACATAGTAGGTAGGCATTCAATAAACGATGGTTACTTAAAATTTTTCAATCAATGGTTACTTTGTTTCATAAAATGTCTTCAATATTTTTAGGAGACATCTTTCCTCAGCTTTAAAACTCTGTAGTATTAAAGAAATACAATTATGTTCAGTTTAAACTGCATTTAAGGAGACCTACCAGACACATATATCTTAATTTCTGAAAAGCTTGAGTAAATTTTACTGTAATGTAGTTAAAAGAGAAAAATCACTACTAATATTATTGGACTTACCTTCCAGCGGCTAATAAGTCAAAGTCATTGCTTTTCCAACCAAACTATGAGGGGGGGAAAAAGACACCCACAAAAATTAATTATTTTATTTATAATTCACCAATTAGATATAGAATCTTTACATATTATATGCTAAATCTATTCCCTACTTGATCTAAAGTGTAATTCAAGATTACTGCATAGATTCAAATAAGAAATTATATAGAGAGACTAACAAAAACCTCTCAGAAAAACATGAAGTAGAATTTTGGTCTGGACAAAATGGAATAACCTGAATCTCATTTAAACCAATGCCTAGAACAACCAAAAAGCCAGGTAACAAACATATACGAAACCACAGTACTTAAGACATTGGACATCAGGCAATAGAAACTAGTGATCCCTAACTAAGCAAGTTGAAACAAATGAGACGGGTCTGTGATTGAGTTTCCAAGTCCAGTGCTGGGAGAGGGAATCGAAATGGAAGCTGAGTTAAGGAGCTGAGAGTCGAGGGAGACCAGGATGACTAGAGTTTGCAGGATAGATTACCACATAGAGAGAACAGTATAGAAAGAGAATTTTTAAAGGATCCTAAGGTATTGAATAAAAAGCTGTAGGAGTTATTACACCAATCACACACACACACACATATATAAACCAGTTTCACATGGTCATCTGAAGAACTTAGTTAACAATAAAATATTCTCCCATATTTTAATGAACATCAATATATAAAATCAAATTTGAAATTCACTGTGTGTCTTTTGGCACATTAGACATATTAGACCTCTTAATAGGAAAGCAATTTATTTACTTTTGGCTTGTTTTTAATATTTTGAACTAAACAATTTGGCTCCTGAACACATTTTGCAATGGCCAAAGAAAATTACGTGTGTGTTAGTAAGCAAAACAAAGATGATAAGCTCACGGTGACAATTATGTTTTCCCAGGCAACTTACAGCGTGAATGAGGGGTCCCAGCACGAGAGCACTGTCCACACAGCGCCCTGTCAGAACGACGTCAGCACCCAGGTCCAGGGCCCTGCTTATGGGTCTTGCTCTTTGGGAAATAGAACATCCCTGTCATTGTTTCTCACCCAGGTCAGATCAAAGCTTTTCATTAAACACACACACACACACACACACACACACACACACACACACACCTGCTTATCACTTTGTCCAATGACTCAAATATATTTCAAGTAATTCCAGGCATAAAATGATGTGGACAAAAACACTCTCCCAGATACTTCCATTCTTCTCATTATTTTTAAATCAGTATTTCCTGTGTAACTGTTTATCAAGTATTCTGTGAACATTCAGCCATTTTACAATGCCGATTTGTCTGGGCATACAATTCTGGAAGGCCAGTTATTTTAGTTCATGGAGACTATTTCACAATCTCCTGGTATCCAATTTTGTTGTTGAGAGGTGTGTCATCAGTCTAAGTATTGATGTTTGTGTACTGCCTTTCTCTTTGGATGCTCTCACAATCTTAGTTTTCAGTTTTAGACAGTTGCACGGTGTTATATCTTTTTTGTTTAATCTGCTTAAGATTGACTTTTCTTCTTGATCCTGTGGATAAATATCTCATCAACCCTGAGTAATTCCCAGCCATTGTCTCTCAACATTGCTTTTCCCCATCCTATATAATAAAAGGCTAATATGCAAATCGACCGAACAATGGAATGACCAGTCACTATGACATGAGGGGGCAGACGCTCACTGCAGGAGCTCCCCCCTGGTGGTCAGTGTGCTCCCACAGGGGAAGCATGGCTTAACCAGAAGCCCTGAGCCAGGCTCATGGCTGGCGAGTGCAGCGATGGTGATGGGAGCCCCTCCCACCTCCATGGCAGTGCTAAGGGTGTCCTACTGCTGCCTCCAGGGGGAGTGGGCCTAAGCCAGCAGTAAGACATTCCCTGAGGACCCACCTCCCAACCTGAGTGCATGTATTTCATGCACTGGGCCTCTAATTCTTTATATTCTCTCTGTCACTCTTCGATAGGAAGTTAGACTTTATAATTCTATCATCGTATCTCTAACTTATCTTTCATTTTATGACTCTATTCTGGGCTGATCTTAGTAAATTTTATCAAATCCATTTTCCAATTCATTAATCTTCCATTAATTGTATTGAATCTGCTATTTAATTTACCCATTAAAATTTTATTTTAATGACTATATGTTTGATTAATAAAGTTTATTTGGTTTCTATTCAAATCCACCTAGGCCTTCTTTGAAAGCTTGTTCCCTGCTCTGGTTTTTATCCCGTCTTCATTTCTTTAATATGCTTTTTGTATCAAAACATTCCAATGTATGAATTCCATGAACATTTACATTTTTTTTGAATGTCAGACTGTGAACTATTAAGTTTGGTGAGGCTTCATCTGTGAAGCAGCCCTTGTGAGGGAATGTCTGGATTTACATTTGCTTTTGCCAAATGTGCTGGTGATATAAGCAGCCATAAACTTTTTAATTACGAAGGCTTAAAGTTAAATTCCTCTTTCTGTCCTGCTACTGGTTTAGATAGGACAACTGTAGCAGCTACAGTTGTCAGAGAATGTCTGCCTCCTTTACTCAGGCCTATTGTCTGGCCTGGGAGCTGCAAACTACGGTGGATCTTGAGAAAGTCCTGTGGATATTCCTAAGAGTTTCTGCTGCTACCTGGCACACTAGGAAAAAAAGCTTTTAAAATAGCCAACCATTTGAAGCCACATGTGTCCATTTATATTCGAAAGGATGGAAGAGAGGGTGGGAGGAATAAGGGACATAAGATAAAAGACCTTACCCAAGGTACACATTCATGCTTTCAATGGTGTCTGGAAATTTCTTCCCACTCTCCATATCTGTGGTAGCGGATCCTTGCAGAGCCTCCTTCTATTAATATTTTACAAAAATATTTTAAACCTTTATTCATAGAGAGATTTCTTGTATTATACAAAAGTAAAGTTACAGTTATTTATATGGAAAATAATACAATAATTAATAAATAATAGAAGAATAAATTGTGTTTTGTGTACTCACAACTGTAAACCTGTTGCCCTACCCTGTGTATATGCTAAACAATAAAAACATGTAATAGGTAAGTAGAGTCCTATATATTTCATTATTGGGATAAAGAAATTAATATATATTGAAAAAAATTATTCTGCATATTCTACTTCAGGCATTTTTCATTTTGTTTTCCAAACAACCCTGACAAGCAGTGTCACAACTCTTATTTTGTAGACAAAGAACCCAATCAAGAAAGACCCAGTGAAGCCTATTGGAGAAGTGTGTGGTCTCTGGCCCCTGGCAAACCACCAGCTTCCCTGTACTTCTCTGATCGACACTGATCGTATCGATCCCACAGGATTAGTGTAAATACATATATAATCTCTCTTAGTTCTTACAAACTGACATGCAGAATTTGAAAGGTCCAATAGCGATTTCTCTCCGGTAAAGAATCATGCTTCCTATCAAGTCAACATTCAGAATAAAAGTTATCAGTACATGTTCCCCTTAATCATGAAATGATGTATTCAGGGACTCCGAATGCAGACAGGTTTTCCCAGGCCAAGCACTAAAGCGCTGGAAAGTGCATGGTATAATGTGATCTCTATAACCTCCTCCCTCAAAAGAAGGGCTCAGGCTAAAATAGGACAAAGCACCACAGCCCCAGCGACAGCTACACAGAGATGGTCACTCATGAAAGGAACATGTCATCACCTCCCGAGGCTCTAAAAGTGGAGGACCCTCTCTGTTGTCCTGAAGTCCGTCCACAGCACAGAGTGACGCCAAAGCCAAAGCAACGTCACCACCAAAGGTTAAAGCTGGGACTGCTCCGTCCTTAAGTCCCCAACAGGGATTTGGTGTTTTATATCTATTACAAAACATAGCTGTAATATATAGCATAACGTATGCATGCACATGAAAGTGGGTGACTCATTATGACAAGTGTATATTTTTGTTGTGTTCAGTTACTATTTTCAAAGGAGTAGGCAGGGTTTTGGCTATAAAAGGTCAAACTCTGATAGTCCCAGGCAGGGACCTGCTTCAAGGTATTACCATTTGCATGTTAGATCTCTACAAACAAATGAAAATCTGTTCAGGGTTATTTTCCTTTTCATAAGGGGAAAACAGGTCGACAGTTTAATTCTCTTGGATAAGATTTTAAGAATTTGTCATCACATTGGGCTCATTAAAGCAGAAGTCTGCCACATGCTAACGTAACATCATATTTAAAGTAAATCAATGGCCCTAGCTGATCTGGCTCAGTATATAGAGCATCAGCCTGTGGATTGAGGGGTCCTGGGTTTGATTCCAGTCATGGGCACATGCTTGGGTTGCAGGCTCCATCCCCAGTAGGGGGCATGCAGGAGGCAGTTGATCAATGATTCTCATCACTGAAGTTTCTACTAGTATCTCTTCTCTCTCTCTCCTCTGAAGTCAATAAAACAAAAACAAACAAACAAAAAAATAAAGTAAATCAATGGACTGTTATTGCAGCAAATTCACTCCCAGCAGTTAGGAGGATTTAGATGAATTTAAAATATACTATTTACACAGAAATAGGACAGCTCTGCAAGGTTATCTCCACAGCAGTTTTCACAAATCAAGAATCTAAACCTGCACAGAGAGGACATTTAGCAGGCCTATATGAGCAAGCCAAAGGCTCTACCAAGATAAAGCTAATTAGCAGATCTGTTCTGTTTACTCTCAAACAAACAAGTTCATTGATTTTTTATGTTCCTGACAGCTAGCACAAGTATCCAAGAGCCCACAAAAATTGCTCTCATTTCACAAGTGAGATTTTACAGCCTTTGAATTTCACAGGCAGCCAAGCTCAGCCTAAGAAAACAGCACCAATGAAAAGCTTGAAACATCTAGCTTTTCAAAGTGAAGTGTTAATTTAAAAAAAAAAATTATAATTTCATTTCCCTTCTTATTGTGACACAAAATGTATCACCTGCAGCAAAATCCACCAGCTGGAACCCAAATAATGTTAAGATTAGAAAGGTAGATAATCACTTGTGTTAAAAAAACAAACTTCACGCTTAGTAAGAAGCACAATTTCAACGTACACTTTCATGCTCAAAGAAGGGTCCAAAGTTATTCTAAACACTGTCTTCAGTGAGTCAACAAATCTTTCATACCAGGCACATAAGTGGTTTATGAACATAAGTGGATAATCTAGGCAATGGACATACCAGAATTTCTAGACTAAAGATTAGAGAGAGATTTCTAGCGCTCAGTCTGAAGAGTTATACCCAAATCCAATAATTAGATCAAGGTAAACGATCCCCAATTGTTCATCACATGACACGATGGCTTCTTGCTTAGGAGTCTAGCGCATAAATGTCAGTAACCTCTCCCAGGATGTCATCTCCAGTGACCACTGCTATTTTCAAATCCACACCAGCCTTCCTGGCCACCTTGTCCAGGGCAGCAGCACACAGGAGAGGGTTGGTGCCCCCAGCATTGCTGACCACACGCACGCCTGCCAGAAGAGAAACACACGGCAGTCACTCTGATGCAAGTTCAATCAGCAGTTTTCATTAAAAGAACTGCTTTCTCTTCCCACTGTTTTTCCTTGTTTGTTTTTACCCTTTGGAGGCAAATATACCAAAGGCAATGGCATCCCTATATAATATTTAAGAGGCTGAAGCCACTTCCTGTGTATATGCTCATCAGATGCCCGGCTGGTGACTGATGTGAATGGAGATGTAACTCTTGGGTCCTCATAAAAATATCTGTGGATTATTAAAGAAATTACTAGTTCTAATTTTAAAGATTCTTTGGATTTTCTAAATAATTCTTTAGAGCAGTGGTTCTCAACCTTTTTAATGCCGAAACCCTTTAATACAGTTTTTCATGTTGTGGTGACCTCCAACCATAAAATTATTTTCATTGCTACTTCATAACTGTAATTTTGTTACTGTTATGAATTGTAATGTAAATATCTGTGTTTTCCAATGGTCTTAGGCGAACCATAGGTTGAGAACCGCTGCTGTAGAGCCCAAGACCATTGGAAAACACAGATATTTACATTACGATTCATAACAATAGCAAAATTACAGTTATGAAGTAGCAACAAAAATAATTTTATGGTTTGGGGTCACCACAACAGGAGAAACTGTATTAAAGGGTCCCGGCATTAGAAAAGTTAAGAACCACTGCTCTAGAGGGAACTGATCCAATCAATTCCATTTTGAAAACCCTAATCTTTAATTTGATGTCTGACAGTTATTTGCTGAGATAGACCACCTGGAAAACTACTAAAAAGCGAGAGAGTCAACATTTCAGAATTCTAAGGTAGAAAGGACTTGAGTGATCACCTAATCCAGGTGTTCTCATCTTTTAAAGATTCATTATTCTTTGAGGAATCTGATAAAAACTATGGATTCTCTCCTTAGGCCCTAAGGCTTAGGGGAAAAGGCTGCTTTTGCTTATAATTTCAGGGGCATACAGATTCCCTGATACCTAGCCTTGAACATCAGATTAAGAAACCTTGACCAAATCCAACTGTCTCGTTTAAAAATGAAGAAATTAAGGTGCAGAGACACTAAGTGACATGTCCAAGGTTGTGCAGCCTGTTAGGGACAGCACCAGGATGAAAACTCTGGGGGTTCCACTCCCTCTCTGTGTCCTCTATGGTGTCAGACTCTATAGGACTGTGTGGGTGGTTAACGGCCAAATGGCCATCACCCAAAATCTGCAAAGGGCTCTGAATGTTTTGCTGAATCATCCCTATTAACTGGCCAAAGAGTGATTTTTAAGTATAAACTATTAGACTTTATGCCCTTTCTAACTAAGTATATTTTTTATCTGTTTCACTCTCTTCAACCTATTCAGGTACATCTGAATCTACCTCCATCCTCCTTCCCCACCTCCCTCCACCCCACTAACACTTTCTTAAAACTCCCTCCCTTTTGGGTTCTGGTGACTGCACAATCAGGTTCTTCTGTCTTTTCAACAGTTCACCTCTTACCTCCCTCACATTTTATATCTCTACCATCCCTCCTCTTTCAAGGGTTCCCTAAAGCTCAACTCTACTTTTTTTTTTTATATCCAATCCATAATAAATCCTTCCCAATAATGAATTCAACTAGTACTTTTATTGATTAAAACTCCCTCCGTCAAACCTGTTTCTATTTCCACCCTCTCATCCAAGCAGTAGTATCTTCAACCTTGTTTGTACTATTATGCCTAACTCTATATTTAGCGTATAGCAAGAGCAGTAGTAGAGGCCCTTGTGTGTTAACTGCCAGTTTATGATTCTAAAATGAAAGATAATATACAAATATCAAATCTACTACCAATACTTAAGGTCCATCAGAAGTTTTGGTTAAGTCTGACACCTTGCTTTCTTTGTGCCTTACTTTCAGGATAACTTATTTTTTAAAAAGGACATATAGCTCCCCCTAGAGGAAAATAATGATATTTTAGAAAACAGAACCTCCTAACATATATTCTGAGATTCACCAACAATAAAACTAAAGGGTACATAATAACCACATCAGACTAGCAATTATTAAAAACTATTCATCTTGTCCTAACTGGTTTGGCTCAGTGGATAGAGTATCAGATTACAGTCCAAAGGGTCCAGGTTTGATTCCAGTCAAGGCACATGCAGGAGGCAACCAATCAATGTGTTTCTCTCACATGGATATTTCTCTCTGTCTTTTCCTTTCTCTTCCACTCTCTCTAAAAATCAATGGGAAAATATCCTTGAGTGAGTATTAAAAAAAACCCACAACAACTCTTCATCTTAAAGATCTTAACAACATATTGTAAGGGATTTATCCTTCTTAAGCAGAGATACATTTGCAGTACTTAAGAGATTCTCAGTAATGCCACTGGAAGTTACCTCAAGACCCAACTGCAAAAGATTTTCTTTGTTAGCCCAATAAATCAAAGTACCATGGCAAGGCGGTCAGAGTCCCGGATTTGGTTCAAGTATAGTCAGCGGCTTTTATGGATCCCAAGACATCTTCCTAAGATTTGCTCTGAGCCACAGAGACCCAGGGTGAGAGAGTGCAAATCAGTATAATTATAACTCTCTGACTGGAAATCAACCCAAATATGTTGGTGTGTTAACACTGGTTATATTTTTAAATATCCTTCCACCTCATAACAACTGCCTTCTTTCCTCAGAACCACATCAAAGTGGCTCATAAGGCCTTATAAATGTTAAGTTAATTATTTTATATTATAATTTATAATTATATTTTAATATAAATATAGTATTTAAATATATTTAGCTGTATTACATAAACACATATAAATATATATTACATAATATATAAATATATATATATCCTCTCTTTCTTAAAACTTGACATGCAATTAAATACAGAAAATTAAGATAATTTAGACGTTTTTCAAATTACCTTTTTTGTGAATGTCCTTTATATATGGAGCCATGGCCATTTGTACAAAATCAGGAACATAGCCCAAATCCTAAAATATAAAAATAAATATGTTATCCACTATGAAATGTACTTGGTCAACTCAAAGGCAACAGATTAATCAATCCTTTAATTACTTTCAAGGCTACTTTTAAGTTAAATTTTAAATAATTGTAATATTTATGTTGTCTGAAAAGAACTAATCCCTTATGAATTTGAAGTTATAATAAATTAATAGAAATATCTACATGATATTAAAAATAAACTTAACCTGCTATAATTATCAAATACTAGATGAAATAAGAATAACTAAACAAATTAATCATTTTTCTTTTGTGATCGATAGCAGTTTTAACTCCAAATTTTTATTAAAAACTAAAACTCCCAATACTATACATGTCCTCAGCATACCCTTACACTGTCAAGAGAAGGTAATGCTTTCACATTTATTTGGTAGATTATAGAAACAAATGCAGGACACCAACAAGGTGGAGTGGAGTAAGAGTAGTTTAAAGCACAAACTAGATAATTAGTTACATGACTAGGGATTCACTTTTAAATTAACTCTACCAGGTGAAAGAACTGCTTACATGAACTAAATATCACAAAGGTGATGACAGAGCTACACTAAGATTTGGTCTTATTCTCTAACAAACTGCATTATTTAAATGGTCCTCCAGCCTAATTAGAATTTCTGCTGGGATAGTCCATGCCTGGGACCCATTTTTTGGCCTTATGTATTAAAATGAAAATAATTTATTTACTGGATCTAACAAAAATATTTCAAAGTTAGAACTAAGACATTGATCACATAAGCAATTTTTCATGTTAATAAAGCTTTTCATAGTATAATTTTAGTGGCTACATAGGATTTCATTGTCTGGATCTTTCATCATTTACTTAACCATATCCTTATTGTTGGCCACTTAGGTCTTTCATTTTCTGTGCATGTTATAAATAAGGCTGCATCATCCATCTTTGTGAGCAAAGCTCTGCCACAGTTAGCTGTAGTTCCTTAAGATAATTCTGACTTAAGTGAAAGTAAATAACCAAACAACTTACATTTTTTCTAATAATGAGACCTAACATTTTAAAGTTTTATAAGTCACTTATGAAAACATTTTCTTGTGTAATTATCTTTTAATGTATCATTTCACGGTAATTAAAATGATTACAATAAGGGGTTGGGAAGAGACCAAACAAAGAACTTGTATGCATATATGTATAACCGATGGACACAGACAACAGTGTGGAAAAGGCCTGGGTGGTGGTGGGCTAGAAGGGGCTGTGGTGTGGGGGGACATATGTAATACCTTTAACAATAAAGATTAAAAAATAACAATAATAATTAAATGGTTAGAATAATTAACTTACAGGTGATTTTATTTTGGCAGCAGTTAGGAGGCACATAGTTATCTCTGAGAGGTAATCAAAAACCAGATAATCCAGCTTCTCTCCATATAGTAGCTGAGGAACTAGAAGCACAAAGTATAATTTACTTTCTAAAATTTAAAATTAACAATAATTTAATCAACATTTTTTAAAAGTATGAATGACATTGCATTTTCTTTATATTATCCAAGATCAGAAGTTGCACACATATGCATATGTGTTTTGTGGGCATTTCCCTAGGAACCTTTTCAGCTTAATGAGATTTTGGTCACTGCACTTAACATCCAAGCACTGCCATAATGGGGTGATAATCCACACACTTCATGATGATTAAAAGAAAAGTAAATTATTATAGGGTAGCAGAAAAATATCTGCAGCTGTGGTAGCCGATTTCCCTATTTCTAGTGCTCTCCCGAATTTATTATTTCCTTCAAATGGTAAGGATCTCTTTGTAAAAAGAAATGATAAATTTCCAGTTCATCAGGTGTAAATCTTCTTTGCTATTCCAAACTCATTATCAATTCAGGCAAAAATCAATTTTTCCCCTCAGTTTTTGGTATGACAGAAATAGGCAAGGTCAAAGGGAATATCTAAAACCTGCTCTTATCAAGCTCCTAGTATCCTCCTCCCGTTATTCTAAAATAACCTGTTGTGTCATTAAAAACCTTGAAGGCAATTCTCAAAGTAAAACACAAGAGACATAAAAGTCTAAAGAAAAATGCTATCATAAGATATGCTGTCGTCCTAAAGAGTGTGTGTTTAAAGGTAGGAGCTTTGTCATAATCTGGTGTCCCTGTCATCAGCTTTGTACCTGATGGTACTTAGCAAAAGTTGGTTGTTTACATGAGGGTACATTTCAAATCAGCTCTTCTCGAAGGTTTCTTCATATCTCTCTTCATATCTCTCAATTTTCATAAGCTATCATGGCATACCCAACGATTACTTAAGCCCTGAATCTTCTTAACTGCCACAGAATTCTTTATTCTGGCATGGTGAAATTCCTAAAACATGCTGTAAATATTCTATGCAAAGGTTTCTCACAAGTAGAAACATTTTTCACTAGGTTAGGGACTTGACCAAGCCAAGTCTTGCATGACTCCATAAAATAAATAGAGTTGGAAGTATTTATTAATTATTGAGATAGTCATTTACCTATTTTTCCCAGTATAATGCAACTACTAAGTGACCATCCGACCAATAGCTGTGACGCTCGACGCAGGAGCAGAAACCACAGGCATGGAAATATGGATTAATGAATCTCAGAGGGAAGGAGGAAGTGGAAGGGTGGGAAGAGATTAACCAAAAATCTCAAATACATACTAGAGGCTCGGTGCACAGATTTGTGCACCAGTGAAGTCCCTCAGCCTGGCCTGCACCTTCTCACAATCCAGGGCCCCTCAGGGGGTGTCAGAGAGCCATTTTCAGCCCGATCTCTGCAGGCCAGGCCAAGGGACCCCCACCGATGCACCATTTTGTGCACCAGGCCTCTAGTACCATGTAAGACAGATAGATGGCTCTTACCAACATAAAAGAGTAAACTCAGAAATGATGTACATAAAAAACAACAACATTAAAATAAGAGAATTATTGAAAGATAAGGGGCCCAATAATTAAATCTATGTTACTAGATTTCTCCACAACAGGTGAGCTCAGAAAGATCACAAGCAACTATGTTGGGATATGTACCCCTGTTTTCCCCGAAAATAAGACAGTGTCTTATATTAACTTTTTCTCCCAAAGTTGCACTTGGTCTTATTTTCAGGGGATGTCTTATCTTTCCATGTGCTAGGTCTTATTTTTGGAGGATGTCTTATTTTCGGGGAAACCATCCAAAATGTCCATCCATCTCCAGCTAAGCCATTCTACAGACAGCACATGGAACAGAATCTTCCATCCGTGACTTCAGAGAAGGAAGAAATATCTCACTTTGGGACTTTATGCCAAGATGTTCACCAACTGTGCAAAACTGAAACAGGCACAAGTGGTAAAATCCAGCTGCCTAAGAAGGCAGCTGGACATCCTAACATGGGTTTTAGAGCAGGAAAAGTCCACGTTGGAGACATAAATGTAGACTCTTCCAAGGTACTGATGTTAAATATTATAGAGGAGAGCACCTATGCCTGGGACACTCCAAACACTAGCTTTTAAGAAGAAGAGGAACTAATTCAAGGAGACTGGGAAGGAAAGGGCAGGAAAGAAGGAGGAAAACTTCCAGAGACTTCAAGAAGAAAACATTTTAAAGAGACAGTGATCAATTTAGTTACTACTACTACTGATGGGTCAAGGAATAGGAGGGCCAATATTGACTCCTCAATTTCGGAGCCATTGGCTAAATGGGTGGAGGTTATTAGTCCCAGCTTCTCTGAAATAAGAAATACAAGGTTCTGGCCTGGCCGGCATGGTCAGTAGTTAGAGCACTGACCCGTGTACGGAAGGGTCACGAGCTCGATTCCCGATCAAGGGCAAGTACCTGATTGCAGGTTCGATCCCTGAGCCCACCAGAGGATGCAGAAGGCCAGCCCCAACTGGGACTATGCGGCCCCAACCAGTCGGTATGTCTCTCTCACATCAATGTTTCTTTCTTCTCCCTACCTAGCACTCTCTAAAAATCAATGAAAAAATATCCTTGGGTGAGGATTAATAACAACAACAACAAAAAAAAAAAAAACAAAAAAGAAGAAAAGAAAAACAAAGTTCCAAGAGATTAAATAAATTGAACACCAAGATCACATGTCATTAGTCAGTTAGCAGCAGACCTGGGCCCAGAACCCACAATGAACACAAGCCTTCAGAAGTGAGTCATGTTTCTTGAATCCCAAGGCAGGCCCTTCTTCAATAACAAATTATGATGTCAACTTCCCCTTGGTGACTATGATGCAGAAGGAGACCTCTAAGAGAACATTAAGACCTTAACCAAAAAGGAATAAACATCAGTATTAGAATTGCAGGGCACTATGACCGTGAGGCAGAGACAAAACCCTTCACATCAAATGAAATAGGCAGACCCTGCAAATCACAGCAAGCCCAGGTGTCAAAACACACTGCAAAACAAAGAAATGCTTACATCTCCTCCAAGGGAATTCTCTGGGCACAATATTTCACTAGGTGACTTCCATGTAAATACGTTGATCAATAAATCCCCCCAGGCCCAATTCCCATATGTTACTACGGTAGCTCTACGTATAAGCAGGGCTTGAATAATGGGATCTGATTCCCCACCCTCTTTTCTTCACCTGATTTTTTTTGTTTTTTATCTTTACCTGAGGATATTTTTTTATTGGTGGTTAGGGAGAGTGGAAGAGAGAGGGAAAGACATGGATTGGTTGACTCCTGCATGAGCCCGGACCAGGGCCCAGGCCTGGAGGAATCTGCAACCAAGGTAAGTGTGCCCTTGACAGGAATCGAACCCCAACGTGGGACTCTTTAGTCAGCAGGTAGATGCTGTATCCGGCTAGGGCCACCTGATTTCTTTATCAAGGTGCCCAAAAGGAGGGAGAGGGAGAATACACTTTTACTTTAGGTTTTCGTTTTAAATTACATCTTCATTTTAAGATTTAAAAAATTCTAACACATTTCTAGGGGGGCAGAGGCACAAGAGAGTCGTCCTAAACCATTTAGAGATCCTTTGATGCCCGTTTTCACAGTCCCAACTGCTCCCCTCAAATCACAACCACCAAAGACCACGGAGTCACTCTGCTGCCAAAGTCCGCGGGACGATTTTGCAGAAAGTGAAGCGTCGCAAAGGGAAGATGGGGAAGGGTGGAGGAAAAGACAGATCGGCTCTGAACTGACTTGTTACTCAGGGTGGAGGGAGGGAGTGGCTGAAGTTTCCAGGAGAGAGAGGAAGGCGGGCACTTTGCAGGGAGAGGCGGAGCCAGCGCTGGCACCCGGCCCCCTCTGCCTAGGGAGAGGGGGAAGGTCGCCGCCGGGCTGGGACACAGGACAGCCCGGTCGCGGGGCTCGAACCCTTCCAGGGTTCCCAGCGCCCTGACTCCGGGCGCCAATCCTAAGGTGACCGGTCGTCCCGATTTTGAACAATCTGTCCCGCGGCGTTTTAAAATTTTTAATAATTTTAAACTTTAAAAAATTGTTAAAAATCGGGACTGTCCCGCCAAAAGCCGGACGTATGGTCACCTTAGCCAATCCCCGCACGCGGTGTCCCTCCGGGGCTGCAGCTCACCCCTCGCGCCGCCCTGCCAGCCTCCCCGCCCGGGGAAGCGGGCGCAGAGGGGCTCGGTGGCGGGATCGCCCGCGCGGATCGCAGTCCCGTTACCTGCGGCCGCCGTGTCTCCCCAGAAGGCGGAGGCGCAGCCGAGACGCACGGCGCAGCCCCGCGACCCCGGCCGGTCGTGCGCGCCGGCCTCCGCCCGCGTGCCCAGTGCCCGGCGCCCCCCGCCCCAGGCGGCCGCCCGCGGGAGCCCGAGCCCGAGCCCGAGCCGGACTGCCGCCCGCAGCTGGCACAGCGGCCCGACAGGGCTCATGGCGCCTGATCCACACCCGAGAGCCCGGCGCCCGGGCGTCCGCTTTGGGGAGGAACCCTGCCCCGCGCGCCCCCTCCTGGCCACGTCCCGCCCGCGCCGCGGCCCGGGCCGCGCGGGGCCCTGGTCCTGCCGCCCAGGGCTGCAGCTCCAGCGACTGAGATCATCACTAGGAAACAGAAGAGAAGGGTTGCTGGTTCAACGCCTATTCCCTTTCAAATTCTGAGTTTGAGAAGGAGCTAGAGACTTACACCAACGCCAGCTTTCCTTCTACAGACAGCCAGGCCAGTGAAGAAACTAATCTAAGAGCTTTACTCATTTTATTTACGTTGTAGGCTTTTGAGGTCATGTTTTAACATTTTTTAACATTGATTAATATTAAATTAATATTTATTAACACATTAAATAGAACAACCCAGCGAGGTGGATAATGCAATGGTCCCCAGTGCACAACTGAGGAAACTCAAGACACAGCGAAGTAAGTTCCCAGGGTCACACACAATTAGAAGGTATAAAGCTGGAATTGAAACCCAGGCAGTCTGGCTCCAGCATCCACACGCTCGGCTCTCAGGGTACACTCCCCAGTTTAAAAAAATAATAATAATAATAATAACAGTGATCTCATATAATCCCCACAACAAACCAACCAGACGTGTACTGCTATTGTCTCCATCTTATAGGCAAGGAAACTTAGGCACAGTGAGGCTAGTAATGGAGCTAGAAATTGGTGCTGGCAAGACACCAGCAGCCAGTTTGATCCTTAACTACTATGGAAGGGGAGATGCGAGTCATGGAGAAGAAGAAATTGCCTACAAAGTGTGTGACACTTAATAAACTTCACATACTGAGGCCCAGTCCCTCCTGTCCTTCCTCAGGCTTAACATTGGGTGGGCTGGTCTTTTCAAGTAGCCCCACCATTTCTGCCCTCCCCTGGCCATAAGGGGGCCTGAGACTGAACTCAGAGCCACCCTATGGTCCAACAGGTTTGCTGCCAGCTGGGACAACTCCTCTCTGAGTTGGGCATAGCATATTTAAAGGGCCTTCACATGTGAGCTTCATCCCTTTTTCGGCCAGGCCCCCAGGATGCTTTGGGAAGGCATAACCAGGGGCACCGGTACCACCAAACCCTTTTTGCTCCTACTTTGGGAACATTGTAGCTATTTGAAGGAGAATAAGAGCACCAAGAAGAGGCACAGAGGATGTGTAAGGCCATGACCAAATTAACAACTTGATTTATTTCAGTTTATGAAGTTCATTTCTTTCTCCCCACGGAGGCAAGGCCTATCTTGCTCAATGTAGTGAGTTCCGGCAATTCTGGGGCTGATCATGGAAAAACCTTATGATCATAAGGAGGGAGGAGCACACAGCAAGCTTTATTTGGGAAACACTTTGACAAGTGTTCATGCAGGAGCGGGGCAGAGGAGTCCCACGCAGCCTGGGACCATCCAGAGGCTGTGGCCGCCTACGGAGACCCCTCAGAACAATAGGAAGGTAAGGGAACAGCCCAGGGAGTGATGGGATGGAGAGTGGACTCATCTGTCTAGGTGCAGCCACTCAGCCATCCCTCTGGGAGTCTCTGGATCAGGGAGCTCGCCAGGCCAGCAGCAGAGTGGGGTCTTTAATCGCTACAAAGTTATACAACCTTTGACCAGCAAATATTGAGTGTAGTTTCTCAAAGTATGCAAAGCAGGCCGGTTCTCAATAACTAAAAGTCTGCTTATTGGTGCTGTGTTTAAAACAGTTGAGTGTGTTTTAAATATGAGAATTAGATGCTGGTGCCTGCAGGCTTTTGAGTTCATGGGTCCCAGTTTGCTGGGAAGAAATTAACAACCCAGAAACCAATATACGGGGCCATCTTTGGCTTATTACTATAACATCCTAAGATCCAGTAGGAAGTACACCCAAACACTCCCAGAATCCACAGCTCCACCAGGCCAAGTCTCTCTCAGGCACGTCACACTCAAATTCTGAGTTCAGGGTTCTGGCCTGATCCACTTTGAATATTGGTGATTGAGACTGGCTGATGATTTATTCCTACATTGCCATCCCTCTGCACAAAGGCAGAGGAATCTAACATTCAGACAGCCAATTATATACATACAGAAGGAGTGGGTTGTCGGATATTTTACCTATAAGAATCTGTGAGGCAGTTTGCATAGATAAGTACATATCCACACCCCTGGGCCTGTTGTTGTCTAAGAATGAAACAATTTCACCAGCAAGTGTCCCTGTTACATTACTTATCAGGAAGAGTCTGGCTCCCTTGATAGGGCCTTAAATAAAACATACTTCTGGTTGTTTATATTCTGATCACTAGCTCCAGTAAGTGCTATGTAATCACAGCCATCAACAATGACATATGTGGCATTAAACCCATTTACTATTCAATCCAACAGATTCCTCCAAGCTTCTCAGGAAATTCAACACAACTAGGAGGTAAACATCACAGAATAATGAACAAATTCCATTTACTACTAGACAATCCACCTACTTCTGGCTTCTTAGAATATGAAACAAGTAAAGTGACTACTCCACTGCTCCTTCTAGATTATCAGATATACCCAACAGCAAAGGGACTCTCCATCCATAGAATAGTGTTCATTATTCTTTAATTTGAAAGCATTCCAAGGCCCAGATACATAGGTGAACTCAAGCCCCCAGGGCTTTGGCCTATCTGTAGGATTGATGCATATGGCAGGGACTGAGCTGTTCTTTTATACTCTGTTCCGTTAGATTTAAAGTCAGGCCCAACTTCTGTCCTCAGGCCCTTTTGATTTTCACACCTTCTTTTCTTCTTGGAAACCCTCATTTCCCCTTGTAGGTAAAATATTGGCCAACCCTCCCATTGACTCATCTTCAGCATTCCAAAACCATCACTGCTGGTTTCAGTATTGCTCAAGTAGAGGTTTCAGTACTGCTCAAGGTTACAATGTTAGAAAATGCACTCGTTCTTTGTCTCCCCTAAATCAGTTCCTCCTTCTTAATTTTTCTACTTATGTTAATTATCAACTCTTCTTTTCCTCTGAGTTATTATCTTTGACCTTTTCCTCCTTTGGCTCTTCCCCCTAATTCAACCCTTCTTTCCTAAACAGACTTGTCTTTTCTAGTCTACTGCTATAAAATGCTTGAATGTTTCCAAACTATTTTTTGTACACCTCCTATGGGTAACGACCTCTACAATGTAAGTCATTGGGCCTGAAACCAGTCTATTTGTCATTCTTTTGGCAGCATTAAAACAATACTCTTAGCAACAGATGTCAGTAAGTTGATACCAAAAATTTAATTTTTAACTTAAATAGGAGAAACTGATACAGCTTGGTTTAAAAAAAAACAAACACACAACTTTTGGGAACAATAAATAATTTCAGTGTGCTTTCAGTATAAAATGTAACAGAGGAATTGAATGATCTTTGAAATTGCCCAATAGAAATCAGCTTCCTTGTGTAAAGCAGGAGTGATTACCCTTTACAGTGTGAGGCAGTGGGTCTCCTACTCTCCTGCACATAGTAAAGTAATCACCGGGGGAAGCTGGCTCATAAATGCAGACCCCTGGGGTCCATATCTAGCTACTCTGATTTAGATCTGCAAGGGGGCAAGGACCTGCATTTTAAAACAAAATAAAAATCCAAGGAGTATTTTTAAGAAACAGTCATGCAGAAGAAAAGTCTAAGCACTTGAAATAAAATACTGTTCTTTATCATGAAATTGCTTCACACAGCTACTTTTGTCGCCTAATTGTGTTAGTTGGGTCTATAATTCTCTGCCAATAGTTGACTGTCTCCTCTAATTTTGTCTTTTGAAGCTCATTATCTTTGGTTTCTAGTTTTATCTCCGATTTAAATTCTAATCTTGGTAAAAGTAACACCTTAGGCCAGATTAGTATTTCATGCTTCACTACACATGAATTTCTCAGATTCTGTTCTTGGGAGAGCAGGAAGGAAGTAGGGATTCCTGAAAGGAGAAGGTGACACCATGCACCCCAGTAGGGTAGGATATTGGGGCAAAGCTGGGAGTTGGTGGTATGTTTTCTTACACCAGACAGAGATGTGGAAGTCTGATGTTTAATGGCAGGTTATAGTTGAGGAATGGGGTGAGGAATCCAAGATCCTGGATCCAAATACCCTTGCGGGAATTTCCCAAATGTAAGTCAGGTCTCCCTCTTAGTGGTGCTGGCATGGGACATAGGTGAGTGAGCTGGGCTAAACATGGGACCAGGACAGACAGACCTAAGGAGAGGGGCAGGTAAAGCCCCTTGGCTTTCTTCACCATACACTCTCTCTCTGGTCCTGTGTGTTTTAAACACTTTCCCTTACGTTAGTGCAAATGCCTGACAGAGCTCTGAAACACACTCTACCAATCCTCTCATCTCCCAAACATCTCAGTATTTTATTTAACTTTGGTAAGGTTGTACGGTTTGGTTTGGCCCCACTTGTTCCAGGCACATGGGAGTAGCTCAGAGGCCTGTTTGTGGCCTTGTCTCCATATACAGTGGATCAGAGCAGTGACCAGTAGCTCTTGGAAATTCCTCCTTGTGCTGTGGCATCCTGGGATTTGCCCAGCCCATTTTATGGACACCATTTAAACTTGGGTGTTTTTTTTTTAAAGTGTTATACAGTCTGGCTTTCGTTTTCCAAAAATTAAGTACATGCGGGGTCCTCTTTAGTCAACAAGTCACAGTGACCATGACTCTCTGCTCTTGAGGCCACTCAAATGGGGCCATAGAAGAGTCACCATGGTTTGTCCGAGTTTCACAACTGCCCTGCCCTGTGGCATCCGATGACCTTGTTACATCTGTGAACAGCTTTTGCTCGGAGACAGATGCTTTTGAGGCAAATGTACTTTGTCTTTTCTTTTCTTGACTGATCTTGTAAGCCCTTAATGGTCATGTGCTTGGTCTCAAATGGCATTTTAATATTTTATTTTAGTGTTTTGAGCACTATTTACTACTTAATAAGGGTTTATGAAAACACACTTTATTCACTCAACAAATATTTATTGAGTTC